CAAAGGCCAGGCCTTTTTCCTCCCGGTAGACCCTATTAGGCCACCGGTTGGGCCTCAGTATCAGCAGACCCAGGTCTGGCCCAAGCGACAAACCGTTTGGCGGCACTCTTGAGACTGTCGTCCGCCGGTCTGGGTTGAACGACTATTTCGACGGTTCAGCCCATGGCGTAGGAGGCCAGCATTGAGGTCGACCGGCCGCCGGACGATACTTAGGCTGGTTCAGCGACCATTCCTGCAGGTTGGAACGAGGGAGGAGCGAGAGGCAGCGCTGCGCTATTTCAGTTTAGCGCAACACCAGGAATAGCAGCGCGAGGTTGGCGCTAGGCCGCAGTTCGGGATAGAGAGGGCGTGAGATACGTACCTGGTACTTATCTCTGGCGCCATAGATTCAACGGGCTTCGACTGCAGAAGGCTTCAAGGCGCCACCTTGCATCTTGCAGGTAAGGCTTAGGGACAGGACAGGGCAGTGAGGATTCTCCTCCTCCCTACCTCACCATCTCTCCCTCCTCCTCCTCTCCATCTCCATCTTCCTCTTCTCCTTCAGACTTCTTCTTCTTCTCCTTCAGACTTCTTCTTCTTCTTCTTCAGACTTCGTCCTCCTCTTCTTCAGATTGGAGACTTGATACGAGTTGGACAGAGATCAGTGTTGGACTTCGGTGGTAAGAGGCTGTGATACACCGGATCCGAGACTTGGAAATTATTGGGATTGATACTCGGCGGCATCACAGACTGGACACCAGTTACATTAGGACTCTGTACCTCCGATATTGGTGACTTATTGTCCACGACATTTTGATCTTGTTCGATGACATTTTGGACTACCATATCGGTGACCTACTGGATTCTATCTCGGTGACATTTGGCGCTGCCTACATCTCCCACCTCCTTCGTCTCTCCTCCTACCTTTCATCTGTGTATGGTTGTACGGGGCCTGAGCATCGTCTATGATTGGCTCAGACCCCACCATCTCACGATTGTTTGTGTGTTGAGTGATATCTGTATGAGTCCAATCTATGTAAGTCAGTCCATTTATCAAACTTTCGCTGCATACATTCTCATCCTATATTGGTTGATCTTTGGTTCTGGCCATACTTGTTGAAGTATTCACGAGTATGCAACAGTTTTTGTATCGGAGCAGACCAATCAATGGATCTGCTCACAAGGTAATTCTGATTAGGGAATAGATTGCTTATTTCATTTTCCAAATCAGTTCTCCATCATTATCGAGATTCAAAGTTGCAAAAATCTTTTTTTTCGGTATTCTGATTTAATTCGGCATTCCATTTCAATTCGGTATTCTGATTTTTAATTCGGGATTCTGTTTTAATCCGGTACTCTGTTTAATTTGGTATTCCGTTTAATTGGTATTCTGTTTAATCTGATATTCTGATTCGAATTCGGTATTCTGATTAATTCAGTGTTTTGTTTTAATTCGGCATTCTGATTTCAATTCGGTATTCTGTTTTAATTCGACATTCTGTTTTAAATCCGGTATTCTGTTTTATTTCGGTATTGGAATTAGGGTTGCGATAAAATTTTGGTTTTTCGTTCAAATTGGGAAACTTGCATGTTTTTGGAACCGTAAAACCAGAAATTTCGCAAAATCGCGGAAAATTAGGGTTGGAATCCGAAATTTTCGCGATTTTTTTTTCTTTTTCCTAATTGCGAATCTCCAAATACGGACTTCAGCCTTCTGAAAATCGGACTTGTTAGGTTGAAATTTTCGAAATCTCATGTTTTTTTGGAATTTCTAGTGTTCTCTTTCTGACTATCCAAAATTTTTTCAGTTGCAGCATGTTTGAATTGTTACCTCAGAACTGCAACTTCCAGGTAGTTCACCAACAAACGGTGAACTCCCGCATTATACGTGATCTCAACGGATACGTAATATTTCAACAATTTAAAATTCGTAATTTATCATTACTGCAGTTATTGATTAATTTATTGATTATTATTAAGAGCAGGGTTGCCGGCGTTCGGGACGGGCCGAACACCCGAACCCGAACGCCCGAACGTTTGGGACCCCCTCTCGACGCGTTAGGACGTTCGGCCGAACGCGGAACCAAAAAAAAAAAAAAAAAAAAAAAAAAAAAAAAAAAAAAAAAAAAAAAAATCCAAAAATTCTGAAAAAACAAAATGTCATGCAGAAGAATAAACTAAAAAAAAATTGCCTTAACAGTACATCCAAATTCCTTACCAAATTTGAAATAAAAATCAAATACGAAAAATAAATAATATTAATGAAAATAAGAAAAAATAAAAGTTATAAAACGAGAATGAAATTATTGCATGTGCGAGCAAGTTTTTGACACCGCCATCTTTGGCGATTTTTTTTTTTTTTTTTTTTTTGTCAAATGCCGTGAAATTTTATACATATGTATCTTACATAATAGAGAACCTACAAATAAAGTTTGAAAAAATATTTTTTTTTAGACCCTGAAATAAAGGGAAAACAAAAAGTGAAAAGAGAAAAAAAACAAATTAGTAAGTGGGAAAGCAAGTTTTGACACCACCATCTTTGCCGATTTTTCATTATTGTTTGGCTCCACAGAATGACTTCAAAATTGACAGACAAGTAGCTTACATAACAGAGAACTCACAAAAAACAAATTAGAAAAAAATAATAATTTTAAGGTACCAAAATATTTTTTTGCGGGTGAACCCCTTCGAGTTCGGGCCCCGTACGGGGACCCGAACGCCCGAATGTTCGGGGGTCAGCCTAGGGGCCTCCGTACGCTCGGCCTGGCAACTCTGTTTAAGAGATTATTAATTCGTTATTAATCATTGATTAAAATTTATTGGTTATTAATTCGTTATTATTTTTTATTACGAATTTTTAAGTTATTTTGGGGAAAAGTTCATCTTTTTTTTTTGATTAGGTGTCTAGTCCACAATTGGGACAGAGACTGTATGTGAATTGCTTGATCTATTCTACCCCTGTTCCCATCCTCCCTGCGCTCCCCGTAATCTGTGACCACCGGGACTTCTCAAGTACCACATCAACTCGGGCTGATGTCGACGGAGTAGGACACCGGGGCACTGCCACGACGCAGTGCCAGGCTTGCAGTTCGTAGCCACTCTATGGTACCTCCACGAACCAAGTATCAGCAACAACGACTCAGCAGGCGAACGACTCCAGCGGCATTGAGTACAGCAACTGCAGTACCGGTTACCACCAGGGCTCTTCTCGCCTGTCCGGTCCAAAGGGACCACGAGCCGTTGTCAGATTACCTTCAACGGCTACAGACATTTACAGATGTTGTCGCTATCGCTAAGGCACAGCAGGAGGCAGCAGAGGCGGAACGTCAGTGGCTGGCCAATGAGGCGGCAGCCCAAACTCAGCGGAATGCTGAGGCTGACGCCGTGGCTCGAGACAGACGGAATGCCACCAGCACTGAGTCCCTGATTCAAAATGAGAATCAGTGGACAACGCTACTCCAAGGTATGATCTTTGTGCCTACGGAAGCGCAGGCGGATCCGACACCGGCGGAGACAGAAAGGAGTAACCTGACTCACTTAATGCTGAGCATAATGAGGGGAGTGATGTGGAATAACACAATGCTGCAGGTACACCTGCTCACGGACCGACAACACGATAGAAGCAGCAGCAAGATACTGCCACTTTAACAGTTGCCATCCGCACCGCAGCAACACAGCAGCAGCAACAACATCAGCTGTTGAACTCCACTCTCACACGCGTCAACAACATCGAGGCTCAAGCCTCAGCAGCGCCAGGCTGCACGACAGACACGACGAAGCAGCTCGGGGAGCGCATCGACCATGTCGTCACGATTATCGGCGAACTAGGTGATTTCACTAGTCCGGCCACGATCAACAGCACGGTGGCCGCCATGAAGACGGACATCACCAAACTGTAGACAAGACCGGACGCCGCTCCAAGGACATACAAGATGCCGCACTTCAACATCAGCAAGTTTGGCGACTACAACAAGACGGACGCCTTGACATGGTGGCAAAGCTTCCTCACAAAAGCATCCTCCCGCACTGTACCGGCCGAAGACATGATGAAAGCGCTCTACCTCCAAGTTGCTGGAGGAGCACAGGCATGGATGAACCATCTCGCGGTCGATCGGAAATGTACCATCGCCCAACTCCACACACACATTCCGTGGAAGGAGTTCGAGCAACTGTGGTTCTCTCGATTCATGGTCCGCAATATTGTAAAGGCAGCCATGAACGAGGTCTACACCAGCTCACAAGGAAGCATGCCAACTCGAGACTGGACGATCAAGTGGCAGAAGATAGTAACCACTCCATGCTTCGACTTGAGTTTTCCAAACCAACGATCCAAATTCTTTTCGCGATCGTGCGCAGGACTGCGGTCGGCACTCAGCAACGAGTACGACTATTCTGGATCGTGCGAACCTGGTCATCCAAACGGATGACAAGGCCACTAACGAACGACAATCCCAGCCGCACTATGTGGCTAAGCAGGGCTACCAACGACCGACACATAACAATGTTGTGATTCCTGACGAATCAATCGATCTCCACGCTGCAGCAGCCTCCTCGAGTGATGGAGGAGTTGTCGCAGTGCTCCCGCCGAATCGTCCCAAGAGAGTTCGGAAGAACAAGGCGACACAAGCGACGACATTGACGGGAACTGGGCAGCAACCATGGACGGCATACAACATAACCAAGGAAGTATTTGACCTCCGTCAACGGTACGGATATTGCCTATGGTGCAATAGTGTAAACCACACTACCGCACAATGCTCGGACAAGGGCAAGGCACGCGTACCCCGCCCAACTAACTCGGAAAACTGAGTTACGCAAGGAGAGGGGCGACGCCTCTCCTCACTCCGCCGGAACCGGTTGCCTTGCTAGCAACCGACATCACTACCGGGAGCATGCGTTAGTCATTGATTCTTGTACTACGTACGAGGATTATGCCGCCCAGCTGGTGCCACCATTGGACCAGCCTAGCCACGTGCACTTAGATAGCGTATGCGCAACCTGTACACTGTCGGCAAGTGAACCGGTCAGCTCGCCACTGATTTTCGAGGACTTGATGGCGTGGTCAAAACTTGAGGAGCTTGACCCGCTCACGAGAAAGGAATTCGCTTGGATGCCTCTACCCTCAACCGGAACCTTGCCAAGGCCGCATTGTAACGCCTTGATGGCAAATCTACGCTCCTATTTGTACGCTGCAATACCAGCTCCGTTGACGGATGACGGAGTAGCAGTTGTCGATCTCCGCTCCTATCTTGCGAAGATTGACCGTGAGTATGCCACCCAAAGGTACGCCGAGACTGACGCGCCTTTGCTCTATATCCGCATTCAAATCGGAAAGGCAACTTGCAGTGCCTTGATTGATTGCGGAGCATCTCGCAATTTCATGAGCCAAGCCTTTATGGCCCGCGTAGGCCTTGGCCCGCGCGTTCGAAGGAAGACGCAACCTACGCAAGTGACACTCGCGGAAGGCCGCATGCAAAAGTCGATTGACCGATGCATTGACGGCGTCCCGGTATACTTTGCGCCCCTTGCGTGCGAGTCGGTGTCTTTTGACATCCTCGACACCAAGTTTGACATAATTTTAGACATGTCTTGGTTGCGTAGCGCCGATCAACCGATGAACTTTCATGACCGAACCGTTCACATCCGTGATAGGAACGGATTGCTAGTCCCATGTACGATCGCGACCCCACATACTTCGATTGCTTGTCACCTAGTTTCCGTTGCGAGAATTCACGACGCTATAGCTCGGAACGACGTAGAGGAGATGGGTCTTGTGTTTTTACATGCTTTCCCCTCGCGGGACGGACCAGCCGCGTCATCGTCGGACCCACGCATTACTCACCTCTTGGACGGGTATGGAGACGTCTTCGAGGCTACCACCGAAACGGTTCTGGATCGGCCCATACGCCATGGGATCACTCTCGAGGCTGGTGTCGTCCCTCCGCATGGATGCATTTATCGCATGAGCGAAGAGGAACTCGAGGTGCTTCGCGCACAACTTGATGACCTTCTCGACAAGGGCTGGATTCGCCCTAGTTGTTCGCCATACGGTGCACCGGCTCTCTTCATTCGAAAGAAGAACAAGGACCTACGACTGTGCATTGACTATCGAAAACTTAACACACAAACCGTTAAGAACGTCGTCCCTCTCGCTCGGATCGATGATCTCCTCGAGCGGTTGGGCGGCACGACGTACTTCTCGAAGTTGGACTTGAAGTCGGATTACCACCAGGTTGAAATCCAGCCTCAAGATCGGTACAAGACCGCCTTCAAAACGCGGTATGGGCATTTTGAGTGGGTCGTAATGCCATTTGGACTTACCAATGCCCCGACAACCTTTCAAGCCGCCATGACAACGGAGTTCCGAGATTTGCTCGATCGTTCCGTCCTCATCTACCTCGATGATATCTTGGTATATAGTAGGACGCTTGACGAGCACCTCGTACACCTCCGTATGGTGTTGGATCGTTTGCGATCAGCCAAGTACAAAGCAAACCGCGACAAGTGCAAATTCGCCAAGCAAGAGCTTCAGTGCTTGGGCCATTATGTGACGCCGAAAGGCATTCGTCCCTTAGCGGACAAGATCCAAGCCATCGTGGATTGGCCGGAACCCCGTTGCACGACGGACATACGCTCTTTCATGGGTTTGGCTGGATATTATCAGCGCTTCGTCGAGTCTTACTCCAAAGTGGCAGCTCCTTTGTCGAGACTTCAGTCCCAGAAGGTACCATTCGAGTTCGACGACGCAGCTCATGGCGCATTCAATACGTTGAAGGCAGCGATGCAAGACGCTCCGGCCCTCCGTATCTATGATCCCACCCTACCCACCCAAGTGACTACAGATGCTTCAGGGTACGGTATTGGTGCGGTATTGGAACAATGCCACATGGATGGTTAGCACCCCGTCGAGTACTTCTCCCAAAAAGTGCCTCCCATCAACACTCTCGACGACGCTAGGAAGAAAGAGCTACTCACGTTCGTCACTGTTCTCAAACGGCGGCGCCACTTTCTTCTCGGTCGTCGACGTTTTAGATGGAACACGGAGAACAATCCGTTGACCTTCTACAAAATGCAGGACACGGTCACTAGCACGATCGGTCGATGGATGTATTACATCGACCAGTTCGACTTTCAGTCATGCCACATTCCCAGTCCCACCAATTGAGCAGCAGACACCCTCTCACGACGGCCCGATCTTTGTGCTCTTGTGACCACGACGTTTGACCTCGACGACGATCTGCAACAGCATTTCGTCAACGCCTATAAGTCCAATCCGACGTACTCTACGCTTTATGCGGACCTATCATCGAATCACCCGCTGGCTGGTCATTATCGTATCTCTGACGGTTTCCTACTCCTTCACACGAGAGGAAAAAACTTGTTAGTGGTGCCCCAAGATCGCATCTTATGGACTTGTCTTCTCAGCGAATTCCATGACCCACGACTTTCGGCACATCTTGGCGTGAACCGCACATTGGCTCGCCTCCGCCAGCGTTTTCACAAGCCCGACGTTCTTCACGACGTCACGAGGTACATTGAGTCATGCGCAGTTTGCCATCGTAACAAAGGTCGATGTACGGTCCCTTATGGCGAACTGAAACCGATGTCGATTCTTCGGGCACCACGCCTCTCCGTTGCTATGGATGTTACAGACCCGTTCCCCCGCGATCGTCTCGGCCATGACGACATTCTCACGGTCGTCGACCGTTTGAGCAAGTACGCCCGTTTTCTTCCATGCAAGTATCGCGCTACAGCTCCCGAGCTTGCCCGACTCTTGCACACCAGCTGGATTACATGCCACGGTGTTCCGGAAGATATTGTGAGCGACAGAGACACTCGCTTCATGTCTGCCTTTTGGACTTCCCTCATGACGGAGTCCGGTTCGACGATGAAGCCGAGTTCTGCACGGCACCCGCAGACGGATGGACAGTCAGAACGAGCGCATCAAACCTCTCAAATGATGTTACGTACACTCATCCGTCCCGACCAGAAAGATTGGGTTGACCGGCTTCCCGACATCGAGTTCGCCTACAACACTTTGGTGCATCCGGCGATCTACATCACTCCATTCGAGTTGCATCACGGTGGAGAAAAAGCCCGAGTCTTTGCTGATCTTCTTCTACCACGGGCCGCCGATATAGACGTCGCTTGCTCTCTCGCTTTCGTTCGGAAGTAACGGGACTTGCTGATCAAAGCCCGCGCAAACATGCAAAAGGCTCAAATCCCCATGCAGCAGCAAGCCAACCGACGTTGACTCCCTTGTCCTTTCCGCGAGGGAGACCTTGTTTGGGTCCTCGCTGAGGAATTCGCGCTTGAGCAGGACGTCTCGCGCAAACTCCTTCCGAAATGGTTTGGACCATGAAAGATAACTTCTGTAGCAGGCGACGACCCAGCAGGTCCTTCCTTCGTGATTGCCATCCCCCCGCACCTCCGTGTGCACCCGGTCTTCCATGCGTCGAAGCTGGCCATCTACACGCCACCATCCGCAGACGAGTTCCCGGACAGACGATCACAGGATCCGCCCTCTATGGACGACCATCAGAAAGTTGACCGTGTCATCAGGCACCGCAAGTTTGGCAACAAACCAATGCAATACCAGGTCACGTTCAAGCAATGTGACCCGGATGACACTCGTCGGATCTCCCGCGCAGACTTCAGGCATCTGCACCACTCATCTTCTCCGACCTGACCCACCCAGGTATCGGACAGACAACTTCGCCCCCGCAGGTCGCTCGGTCTTTTAAGGGGGGGAGTGTGTTACAGTCTGCGACTTCACACGGGCCTCCACAGGCCCGACACACCGGTTCAGGGGGACCCAGGCCGGCCTAACCAAAGGCCAGGCCTTTTTCCTCCCGGTAGGCGCTATTAGGCCACCGGTTGGGCCTCGGTACCAGCAGACCCAAGTCTGGCCCAAACGACAAACCGTTTGGGCCTGGCGGCGCTCTTGAGGCTGCCGCCCGCCGGTCTGGGCTGAACGACTATTTCGACGGTTCAGCCCACGGCGTAGGAGGCCAGCATTGAGGCCGACCGGCCGCCGGACGGTACTTAGGCCGGTCCAACGGGCATTCCTGTAGGTTGGAACGAGTGAGCAGCGAGAGGCAGCGCTGCGCTATTTCAGTTTAGCGCAGCACCAGGAACAACAGCGTGAGGTTAACGCAAGGCTGCAGTTCGGGATAGAGAGGGTGTGAGATACTTACCTGGTACTTTTCTCTAGCGCCATAGCTTCGGCGGGCTTCGACTGCAGAAGGCTTCAAGGCGACACCTTGCATCCTGCAGGTAAGACTTAGGGACAGGACAGGGCAGTGAGGATTCTCCTCCTCCCTATCTCGCCATCTCTCCCTCCTCCTCCTCTCCATCTCCATCTTCCTCTTCTCCTTCAGACTTCTTCTTATTCTCTCCTTCAGACTTCTTCTTCTTCTTCTTTAGACTTCTTCCTCCTCTTTTTCAGATTGGAGACTTGATACGAGTTGGACAGAGATCAGTGTTGGACTTCGGTGGTAAGAGGTTGTGATACTTACCGGATTCAAGACTTGGAGATTGTTGGGATTGATACTCGGCGGCATCACAGATTGGACACCAATTACATTAGGACTCTGTACCTCCGACATTGGTGACTTATTGTCCACGACATTTTGATCTTGTTTGATGACATTCTGGACTACCATATCGGTGACCTACTGGATTCTATCTCGGTGACATCTGGAGCTGCCTACATCTCCCACCTACTTCGTCTCTCTCCCACCTTTCATCTGTGTATGGTTGTACGGGGCCTGAGCATCATCTATGATTGGCTCAGACCCCACCATCTCATGATTGTTTGTGTGTTGAGTGATATGTGTATGAGTTCAGTCCATGTGAGTCAGTCCATTTATCAAACTTTCACTGCATACATGCTCATCCTATATTGGTTGATCTTTGGTTCTGCCCATACTTGTTGAAGTATTCACGAGTATGCAACATGTGTGTTGTAGTATTCCGATTAACATTTGATTGTTCTTTCACTCATGAGCATGTGCTTTCGTTGGTTCAACCTTCACTTTGTCAAGTTCATGTCTATGGTAGTGTTCCGTTTCAACACTTGGTTGCTCTTTCACTCATGTGCATGTGCATTCACTAGTTCAATCTTCACTTTGTCAAAGTTCATGTGTGTTGTAATGTTCCGATTCACACTTGGTTGCTCTTTCACTCATGTGCATGTGTTTTCGTTAGTTCAACCCTCACTTTGTCAAGTTCATGTGTGTGGTAGTATTCAGCTTTCACACTTGGTTGCTCTTTCACCCATGTGCATGTGCTTTCGTTAGTTCAACCTTCACTTTGTCAAACTCATGTGTATGGTAGTGTTCCGTTTCAACACTTCGTTGCTCTTTCACTCATGGGCATGTGCATTCATTAGTTCAAACTTCACTTTGTCAAGTTCATGAGTATGGTAGTGTTCCATTTCAACACTTGGTTGTTATTTCACTCATGGGCATGTGCATTCGTTAGTTCAACCTTCACTTTGTTAAGTTCGTGAGTATGGTAGTGTTCCATTTCAACACTTGGTTGTTCTTTCACTCATGGGCATGAGCTTTCGTTAGTTCAACCTTCACCTTGTCAAGTTTATGTGTGTGGTAGTATTCCGTTTCACACTTGGTGGCTACTACTACTGTGGGATGGGTGACCGACATTTGGCTGTTAGTACTGTGGGATGGGTGACCGACATTTGGCTGCTACTACTGTGAGATGGGTGACTGACATTTGGCTGCTACTACTGTGGGATGGGTGACCGACATTT